TACAGGAGGTCGTGAGTTCAATCCCGACCCTTGACGCCTGCTGTATATTTGAAGTTTGCGTGTTCTCCATCGTGGTCGCGTTGATTTTTCTCCGGGTCCTCCGGTTTTTCCCTCCACATTTAGAAATATGCGTATACGGTATTTGGCTGCTTTACATTTCCACACGATAAGCCACTTTGTTGAGCTATCATTTGTGACTAGGTCGCAACTGAAAAAGAGCTGTATAGCTCGGTGAGCCTTACCTGGCAAAATACAAAGTTTATAGTTTCATAGTGTGATTTAGTAATGTGCATTATACCAGAGGTTGTCAGAAGGACATCAAGAGCCTGGTTGCGTTAGCAAGGGTTGGTGCCTGATATCCTGAAATATCCTACATTTTCATAGAGATGTGAAGTGTAGTTTTAAATGTGGCCATTTGAGGAAGGGAGTAATGGCAATGTTACTGCATGTGTCATAGAGTTTGACTTGGACAAAGCAACGAGAAAACAAACTTCTGGTCCACGCATGCAGGTGCGTGGGAACTGTGTGGGGGAATATCTGTAAGGATAGGTTAAGCGAACAAGACGATCATGTGAGAGCACGGCAAGAACGTGCTGTGGACGTGATCGGGATAAGGAGGTCGGTTGCAAAGGGAGGAACCCGTGTGTGTAGGGTGCTGGAGGCACCTGGTCGACAGAGGCAATGGAGTCACACCCAGAGCTTGGCAACCAATGGGGAAACCAAAAGCGAGATGGTGCGAGACTGAAAAGAACAGGCCATGATGGCACCTTGGCTTTGGGAGAAGGTAGGGTATAATATGCAATATTTGCATCAGTATTATTTGTAGTTTTTTTATAGTGCTTTTGTTTTGCTTGCACTACTGTTTATACTTAGAATTTTACATAATTTAGATTTATATGTCAAACCAAATGTCTCCTTGCTTGAAGAAATGTTGGTGAGGCATTCATTTCTGTTGGAGGATTTTTGTTGAGTGAAAATTTATCGTGGTTAGGATTGAATAAATCTATAGGACAACCAATTTATACTTCATGATCATTTTGTCAGCGCCATTTATATACGTGCGACATTGCGATCAAATTCAAAGTGATTTCCTGCTCTTGTTTATAGCTTTAGGCCAGTCGTTGAAATTTCACATTCCTATTTTGGATGCAAGTCATTCCATCGGACAACTGTTGTCATCATGTACAGGAAAAAAAAACGGCTATCATATCACGTAAAATTAAAGTAAATATATTGAAATATCGATACAAAAATAATAGCTTTCATGAATATGATGCGTGGGGTGATAGGATAGGAATGGATTATATTGATGAGGGATTAACCCAAGGCCGTAGCCGTGGAGTCAACACTGGGGGGGACCAAATCTTCCAGGGGGTCTGGGGGTCCCCCCCCCAGAAAAAAATATAAATTTGAAAACGAATTTCCTGCCTAAAATATTAAAAAATGCACTAACACACAGGTTGGACTTTTTATTTTAAAAAATTACAATAATGTCTAATAGTGTATTGTATTACATTGCTCTGTTTTTTTCTTTTTTACATTTTCTTGTTTCATTCTATGTCATGGCAGAGATTAGGGATTAATAAAGTACAACCATAACCACAATCATATAAACAGAAATACATTTTATAGCAATATATTGGGGGTGGACATTTTGAGCATATTTGAATATTGGGGGGATGTGTATAATATATATTGGGGGGATGTGTCCCCCCAATATATATTATATCATATAAACAGAATTTTTTTTTTATAGCAATATATTGGGGGGGACATTTTGAGCATATTTGAATATTGGGGGGATGTGTATAATATATATTGGGGGGATGTGTCCCCCCAATATATATTATAATTACGGCCTTGGATGAACCATAGGCAATGGCGAAAGGATTGGTCTTCGGTTCGGATTAAAATTCGTGGATGGAACATTCCATTCTGGCAGTCTGAGAGTGGGAGGCTTAGGCAGAGGGAAAGGAGCCACCTCCGACTGAGCCGTGATTCACACAGGGCAGAGAGAGAGGCGACTGTGGGTACTGGAGGTGGAGATGAAGGGGGAGAGATTACACCGGAGATGTGCGTGGATGGGCGTTGGTCTTTAAAACAACGAGCTCATCTTGTAGCAGATCTATTACTGTCAGAAATCCTTTCGCAATGATGTTAAATGCCTTGTTTTTGACCTACATGTCTCCTTTGTGAAAGAGATATTGCATCTCGTCGGGTTGTCTTCTGGATATAAATGAAGAGTTTGATTGATTTGGCTCAAAGGCCTCTGCAATGCTCCCTTAACCCATACCCAATGAGAGCCAGCATTTGATACAATTTAAAGAAGTGTATGGTGTCACCATGATGCATGTTGTTTTACTGTCATCGCTGTTTTCGTACGTGCAATATATTTAAACATCGATTGTCACAACAGTGGCTTTCAAGCACAGGGACTTGCTTCCCCGCGGGGGGTGAGATGTCATTGGCAGCAGGGCGGAAGGTTCCAGACAGTCAGAGACAGTCTTTCGTGCAGGAAATCTATTTGAGGGATTTCGTATTACTGTCTGACACACCTTCTTTCTAGCATCAACAATACCGATTATATTTTTCCACAAAGATGTACAAAGATTATAAGTGCTCTGCCTCTTTTAGTACAGCATAAATGTGGGACTTTATATAGCTATGTATTAAATAGATATTTCGTGTATATCCTTGTTTTAGTAAGTGAATGTAGTATGTCACTGCTGACAAGCAGGATTGTAACATCTATGTTTGCCCTGGCCCATAAGGTTGCGAGTTAAAACCCTGGTCATGGATTGAATCAGCCCATCAATGCAAATAAATTCAGTACCACTGAATTTCAGTACTCAGTACCACTGAATTTCAGTACTACTGAATTCAGTACCACTTTTTGGGAAATCTAAAGTCACTGTCCTTTGTCTTTGTCAAGGGAATACGGTTAGCACGCTGTGCTATGGGTCAGCTTGGTCAAGTATGGTCAAACAACCCCGCAAGACTCACAGGGCTCTGGGGAACTTCATCCAGCAATTGATTGACAACGAGCAATAGATTATTATGATTTAAATTCTGAAGTCAGTATTTTTAGTGGTTTTGGAAGCCTGCCTAAAATGGAAAGTGGATCCAAAAATAACTGGAATGTAATAGGAACAATCTGTTGCAGGCAGTTTCAAATCAATTTATTCAGACTGATATTTTTTTATTTTAATGTTTTTTTGCTGAATGCTCTTGATGAATTGCATGAGTTTGAAAGGAGCCATATGCAGGTGTTTTATGCGTGTGGTCATCAGCACACAATACAAGGAAACACAATGTAATCACCCTTACTGAGGGAGTGGCGTTTGACTGGTGTGCAGTTGATAGTCTGCTGAACATGTCCACCCCCAAGGCCACCAATCAGAAGATGTCATTATCGAGCACTGTTCAATTTGCATCTTCTTAAAATAAAGTAATATACAAAGCGTTTGCCTGCATAACAATATTGAGGCAACGCTCATCTCCATTAGAAATCACTGAGTGGAAGTTCCACATTCTTCGGGCGAGTATTCCCATGGTTGACCACTATTGCCTCTCCACAAATCGGTGCCTATTTTATTAACCCTTTAGGGATAATGAACTGATGTGCCTTCCAACCATGGTTTCAGCTTTGTTACCGTCGCATTCTGAATTGAACACTCTTGCAGCAGCAACACGTGGTGGTAAGAACAGGTCACTATGGGTAGCAGGATACTCGTCGGGCATTTGGAGGTCAGGGATTGAATTTAAGAAATGTTGTTCTTATATGACCCGAGTCTGCATAAAAAAATAGTAGGCCATGTGTGCTGAGCATCATGATCCAAATTAGCCATATTTGATTAATTACTCAAGTTATTTCACTTGGAATAGCTACATAACAGCATCACCCCGTACTCGCAGACTGCTGAACATATGCCGGCCGGTGCAGTGTTCAGCTTGTGCCACACAGAGACAGTTGCCACTGGGGGCCCCCTTGGCTAGACTGTAGCAGGGCATTGGAATGATTGAGATGAAATGTAATCTCAGGGGCTTTGGGTTGCTGAGGCATTTCAAGTTCCCTATATATTTGAAACATTCTTAAATCCTTATTGACAAAAGGGCTGTACATTTATATATTCCTTAGGCAGCACGGATGTGCTGCTTTGTAGTCCATGGGCGAGACCAGAATTTGATACCACTAAGAGGTGTTACATATTTCATGATACCAGTTTGTGTACATGGCTAATAAAAGTGGATTATGTGATAAGATGCTTATTATATCATCTTAATGCAACAGTTCACTTTTATTGCCAATTTAAAGATGTTGGCACAACCCAAGATTCGCCATCTCAGTTGGTACCGACAAGTACAATATTTGGAGAGAGAAACAACCTTTAAAACACATTCATCAATAACACCACCTTAAAAAAAATTAAATAAAGCAGGCAACATCTTTGGCAATGGCCCTCATAGCACAGAGATGAGGAGGGTTTATGAGGAAGGTCCATTGCCCGAGACGTCACCTGTTATATATAATTTTCTTTTTAAGGCAGTGTTATTGACGAATGTATTGAGAGTTCCTGTTATTTGTTCTTTTGCACTACTGCCACCTCAGCAGCGGTAGCATCATTGTCACCAGTTAGTCAAATATTTGGCCCGGCCCCATTATTTCGCCGGGATAAATTTCCACGGGATGATGAGCCACTTCGTACCGCTATCACTTGTGGTCGCCAGGTCGCTTTTGAAAAATAAGTTAATACCTCAGTGGGCTCTTCTACCTGCCAATATAAAGAAAAAAAAATTCAAATTGGATTTGTATATTTTAAAGTTATTTGTTTACCTTTCCTATACGTTGCACTCCTGTCATATTTTTCTATTGTTTGTTGTTATAACGGTCTGACCTGCCCCTACTTGACATCTGTAAAAAGAGAGCTTCATAATTCATCGGACTCCTCCTGTATAAATATATATTCTGATTCCGATTCTGCGCTTGTGTCGCGGTGCAGGTGCTGTCCGTGGTCGCCCAGCAAATCCAGACGATCCAGCGAGCGGTGGCCGAGCGGCTGCACAGCTTCGTGTTTGAGGGCACGGAGATCACGCTCGACTCGTCCTGCTCCATATTCATCACGATGAACCCCGGCTATGCCGGCCGTGCCGAGCTCCCGGACAACCTGAAGGTATCGTGGCTCCGCGCGGAAGCACGCTTTGCGTGATCGCGTTGTGCCTTTTTGTTTTGTGCGTTTGGGTTCAAGGTGAGCGCGCAGCCCCACGCCACTGCTGGCCGAAGGGTCTCCACTCGAGGCGAGCCGTAGAGAGTTGCCCGCTAGAGGGTCTTTGACGTTGCCCTTCGGCGCTGGCCAGACGTCATGGGACGAAGTGGGAGTACGTACATTGTAGAGCACCAAATGCGACCTGCCAATCGGCTTCACAATAGTAGCCGTTTATACCGCTGGGTGGACAACAAAGATTGGCGGGTGGGGGTGGGCGGAATTCAAGGAAATTGCACCATTGTTTCAAGTACCGCACCAAGAGATGGGATGGAACTGGCAACTTTTGATTGCAAGTCCAGTGTGCTAACCCATTACACCACAGGAGCATCCCTCCAAGTCAAAATCAATCTATTCAACTTCTTGCTCAAGCCCCGTCCCTATTGGCTGACTCCTCGGCCTGGTTGAAATTCTACGGTTGTATCACAATTGTTTGTGTCTCCATTGGATAGCAACTATTGACTCTCTGCAGCTACTGAGTCCATATTTTATTGACGCCCCCCACCCCCCCCCCCCGGGGATTCGGGGCTGTATGGGGGGGTGTGGATGTGTTTGAGCGCTGACGTGTTGTAAACGGTTAGCACACACTGTGTGTGCTACGATCCCATAGACTCTCATTGTAAATTTGCCATTCGAACCCCGCTTAGTTGTTCACTAGCTTGGCTCGGCCAAAAGTGTTTGCCATTGTCAACACTGTGGGAACAGAAAAACAAAAGCGACCGGGCATGCGGCTGGCAACTAACACCTCATCAAGTAACGTGCCATTGCCAGTGGGAGATCGCCTCCAGCATTTCGTCCTTACAATGAGTGCGGCTAAACTGGGGATATTTGTCAGTAACAGTTTTTTTTACCGCATTATGATCCCATATGGCTTGCTCTCTACGACTTAGCATAAACACCGTTGCATTTTGTTGAACGGGTAATACATTTGCACAGGGGCTTCATAATAAGTCCCCCACGTACATCTTTAAAATGTATATTTGAACCACCCATCTTTTACACACACAGACGAGACTACACGCCATGGCCAGTGCAGTCATCGTCGTAGACTGTACTTCACCGCATGAGAAACCCATTGGGACATCATAGTAATTTGGCAATGGTGAGGGAGGTTAACGAAGTGGATTAGCACATGCTATGCAGACCTAAACTACAGAAAACTAAGAGATCTACGCACAGTAATTCCAGTATGTGACAGAGTTAAGCGCAACTTTGGAGCTCGCGAAACATAACAAAGTACGAATAAGATCTGGACTTTGAAATATCATAAACAAATGGTACAAAATCACATGAGCTGGAAATTAGATCAGAAACAATTACATACAAAACCATTGTTGTAAAATTCTGGTTCCATATGAATGCTGTATAGCATTTTATATATATTGTAAATCAACTTTCCCACTCTCACTGGCCTGTCAAAGATGAAGCTTGACAAGCAGATCTCACGGTAGGAATAAATTCTGGGAAGATTTTTTTTAAAGTTCCAATCCACCACAAGCATCATATTAAACCATCACATCCATAGCCATTGCGTTTCAATGCGTGCAGTGTCACATGGCTTAACAAGGAAATGACATTAGTTAACAGGCATCTCTGGCTTTGAGTACATGTACATGTGGAGATTGATAGGGATATCATGGTGGGAGAGGGTAAACCAATTTGGATGTGTTTAAAAGAGAATATAGTCGTGACATGTCATTTAGGTATTCAGGAATAGGAGGCGTCAATGAGTGGAGTACACGCATACGATGGGAGGAGGGCAGATTACCGAGACAGCCACCGGAGTGGCACCCAGAGGTCACTGACCAAGAAGAAAACCGTAAACCAGATGGTGGAATACTGTAGGGGCATCCCCTGGAACTTTGGAACGGGGAGCGGTGGTGCAACGGGTTAGCACGCTGCGCTACGAATCCGGGGACGTGAGTTCGATTCCCGCTCACGGCCAACACCGGCGATGATTATCTGAAGCGGTTCTGGGCCTCCCCTATGTTGATTCAGCCTCAAATAAGTACCTAGTGCGGTGTGTAAACATTGCCACTAGGGAGACAAAGGTGGCCGGGCGTGGTGATGGCCACCCATTCCTTTGTGTGCCATCCCGGCCTTCATAGGTGCTCGCTAAGAGCACTTGCCCCAACAGTCTGTTAAGGCTATGCGGAGGGATCTTTGTCTTTTGTTGTATCGAATGTTAGATTTTTAGATTTTATTGAATTCAGCAGGAGGGCCTCAATGAGCTGTTGGATTTCATTTCATAGGCAACCCGCGACGGTACATATGTTATACAGTACAGCACAGATCTTAGTTACATCTAAGGTCTGAAGGCATGTCACCATTGCATTGATTATGCTGAACTTCATTGCACTTTTTATTTTACACTGTGATAGTCCTCTGGATAGACTGTCCCTCACCAAAGGAATGTGGAATTTCTACGACTGCTGTGCGACTGCCAATGTGGAAGAGCACTGCTCTGTGTTTAAAGTAGACACGGTATTGTTTTTCTTGGTACAGTTTACCAATCAAATTTCAAGACTTGACCATTAACCACTATATCAGTTGGCCATTTATTGTATTGTTGTTGTGCTTTTGTGTACTTCTGATTAAGAAAATTAAAAGAAAAACACTTTATAGAGTTCTTCTGGAGTTAAGCCTGCAGTAATAATAATATTTTTTTATATAATCGATAACGTGCATGCTGTCAGTTACCCAAACATAATTACACAAGTCAATTAACTATGAAAGTGATTATGTAATTTAAGCATCATGCTATAAAATACTCTTAAATTATTTCGCAAAGCACTGATTGAATTGATAACAGCTCAGTATTTTAAGCTTTAATTATTGAGTTTGCTATTGCATATATGTTTTGTCAGGAAATACAATTTGGAGGAAAAGTAAAGTTAGAAAAGATAATCAGGATATCATATCTTGAAAAACGAAAGACATGCATTGTACATTATACGAAATATCGTAGAATCGGTACGTTGTGGAAACCGTAGCTTAGACACACAAGGCACACACACTGTTCTACGAGTGTTGCCATATGTACCTGGAATGATTTATCTCTTGCCCAACAAACAGAAAAAAATTCAACACATTCCTCAATAACACTGTGGCCTTAACAGAAAGAAGCCTATATAAAAGTCAATGTTATTACCTCGGTGCTATCATCCCGGCTCCTGTGTTGTGGTCGATGGCATTTCTTCATAGCACGTAGAAAGGCCAGAGAGATAGTGGTTCGTTAATGAGGTTTGGAGACTGCACTTAACACCGTGGGGTCTGATGAGAATTTAATTTACACACATGTTTTGTTATAAGTTATTTTTTTTAATGGGCTTATGATTAGTGACCTCATAGTAGCCATTGCGCAACAGACACACACTGCCAAGTGAGTCGCTGGTAAAAATGTTCAAAAGCATATTTTTCAATAACTCGCATCCCACAAAGGTATCTGGTGCTGTATCTCAGATCACGATGTGTTACCGTTGTCAAAGTAAGGCATGAAGGTTGAATTTAATTTTGAAGGCATGTGGCAGTGTGAGAATCTTGATGTGTGGGCAAGCAATTTTCTGTCTGTTATTTCTTTCCGTGGCTTGGCACAGGAGAACTTCTGACGCAGAACTAATTGCTGCCTCCCTGCATAATCATCTTCTTCACTCTCAAAGGGCACGTCAGCCTCGTTGTTCCTGTTCGTTTGAACATTAAACAAAGCGGCGTAACTTTATAACACGTAGTATTTCGTGACCAATATTGTCCATGAAAGAGTTTTTGGGTTGGATGACATGAATATGAATGTGTCGTTAAACCCGGCACCACCCGACACAGCCAATTAGTAAGGTTGTTCACGTAAAAAAAAAACTGTCCCAATTCATATCGGTTGGGTCTTTCAGTGAAGCCACGTAGATAGAACAAATAATAATAATAATAAAATAACAATATCACGACGTTTCGATCGCAACACAAGCAATCGTCATCAGGTGAAATATATAGCGGGAGAGTTGCTAAGAATATATAGCGGAAGAGCTGCTGTGAATATATATTCTATATATAGATATATATTCTATATATCTATATATAGATCGAAACGTCGTGATATTGTTATTATTTTTATTATTTGTTATATATCTACGTGGCTTTACCGAAAACCCCAACGAATATGAATTCCTGCAGTCACGAAAGCTTTAAGTCAAGAAACATCCCAATTCGTTACTAGTACAGCACACCGTTGTGTTGGAGAGTAAACCCACAACATGTACAATGAGTACGGTGTTTCGCGAGTAATTACAACGAGCATCATTAGGCGACAGCCAGAATTGTCGCCTGATTCCCTACTACAGCCATGAGTCTAAACGCATCTTTCTACATATGGAGGGAAAAACCGGAGGCCCTGGAGAAAAAATCCCCTCAACTACTGGGAATAACATGCAAACTCCAAATATACAGCAGGCGTCAGGGTTGGGATCGAACCCACAACCTCCTGTATACCAGACGAGGTAGTTAACATCTCCAAGTCACCGTGGCTCTCATGCTGGATTTGTATACGCATATGTAATCGCCCTCCGACTAAGTACTATTCCAATGGGGTAGTCACGGATGGACAACTCAACAAACTACAACAACAGAAACTGGAAACCTTAGTCGTAAACGAGATGAGAAAATCGAAATGCCACAGATTAATGTGCTTTGCTAAGGATACTTACGGAGCGGAGCAGCATAAACACAAGCTTGAAAAGCACACAGACGCACATACTAAAAGCAGCCGTATGTGGGAGGGCTGGGGTGATTTCTTGAGTTTGTGATGACGCACCAACAGGTATCCGCCGATGCTTTTGGAAGCGGAATAAAATTTTGGCCAAAGCGATGTGTCACGCGTCAACACGGCTTGCTGATAAAAATGCATCACAAGCATTTCTTGG